GCGTGATAAGCAAATGAGTCCACTAACAACATTGTTTCCCATTATATGCCACCAAGCGAGGTACTTTGATAGCTCGCGTTGTCAAAAGCGACCCTTGACATGGATGAGGTATAAGTTAAATGCAAAAACCCTAAAATGGCAAGATTCGCATAGTTGCAAAGATTGGGTTATTGCCTCGTTGCAGTGGTTGATCAGCTCGGAGGATCATACACTTAAGGCAAACGCCATAAATGAGCTTCGAAAAAAGTTTGCCCTTTTGATTTTTGCAAATAGCATGCCATTTTAAAATTTTCAATTTTTTAATTTTTTTTCTTTTCAATATGTAAATAACATTGCTTTGTATTATGTCCATATTATTATTCTTTGCTGTATCATTTACAAGTTTTTTATCTTTTTTGTAACATTTTATAACAAAAAAGATAAAAATTGCAATAACAACAGTTCTGTATTCATTATTCCTTAATGTGATAAGCATACGGGTCCAATAACAACAACATTGTTTTTTTCTTATTCATATCTTCAATTCTATTAGTATTTTATGCAATTTACATCCCAGCGTTCATGAGTTTGCATAGGTTTGCATATGCCAATCCCCTTACTTTGTAGCCTATATGACATGTTGAATTTAATTACATGACATCGGGTTGTAACCAGTTGCTATTGAATTGCGTGAATGGTTGATATGGAATCGTGTCACCAGTTGATATTGATTGGCGCGAGTATTTGATATGGAATCACGCGAGTACAAAATTTTGAATCACGTGACTAGTTATATGCAATCGCGTAACTAGTTAATATGGAATCGTGTGAGTAGCAAATATGGAATCGCGTGAGTAGTAAATATGGAATCGCATGATTAGTAAATATGGAATCATACGAGTATTTGATATGGAATCACATGACTACTAAATTTTGAAGGATCATTTTGAACCAGGCGACTACAAAAATTTATCCATCTCAAAACTTTTTCTAGGGTTTCCCTCTCAACTTTCACCTACGAAGTGATAAATTACCCTAAACTCATTTCCTGATTCTATCCATCAAACCAGTTACGTCATCCTATTTTACATCTTTATCGAATTGTTTTGCCTCAAAACACCAGAAGCCTTCAAATTTCCTCATTTAGGAAAATGAGTCGTAAACCTAAACGCACAAAGGTGACTGACAATAGTGGTTCAGGTAGCTCTGCCAGTGCAAAAACATCCTCACCCTCTTTTGTGAGTTTGTTTTTGGACAATTTCACTCATCCATCACACGCTGAGAAGTTCTACGCCAATTTTGGCAAACCCAAGGTAATGCCCGGATGTATAATTAACTTTGATTATTTAAAGTCCAATGATTTCCCACACCTTATGAACTTTGAAAATTTAGGGTGGACGCATTATTTACAATTGAATAGGAAATACTATGAGAATTTGGTCTAGATTTTTTACTACAATGCAACATAAAAATATGCTGAGTCCGAAACAGGTTAGGTAGTGAAGCATGATGATATTTTTGTCACACAAATCATGGGACAACGGATCCTTGTTACTCATGATATGATAGAACGAGTCCTTCACCTTACTTCCCTCCAAGAAGATCTCCGCTATGTCTTTGATAATGGGAACCTTCGGTTGGCATTTATCTACCCTGCACCAAATAAGGGAGGTAGTGCTAGTTGCACAAGGCTATGTTTCTTTGATCGAGTCTTGCACCTTATCATCACTCACAGTATTCGTCCTCACAGCTTGAACTACTTTACTGTCACGACAGAGGACCTTTGGTTCTTATATAACATCAAATTAAACCGTCATATCAACCTTGCTAAATTCATCATGGATGACATGCTCTAGACCATTCAAGGTGGCATCAAATGCCTGCTTTACGGCATATTGATCAGTGACATCATAGACTACTTCAAAGTTGACACTTGTTTCGCCCAAAAACCATGCTTTGTTTAGTCTTATCAATGAGCATAGTATTAAGAAGCTAGGTTTTGAGTTCATAAACAATGGTTGGGTTAGGAAGGTGGTAGTTGATAACCCAGATTTTGATGAGGATGGGAATGAGGGTGAGCCGAGTGCGTATCCTATGGGCCTTTATACTACTCAATCTACTACACCTATTTCCACCATATTCGATGTTGAGCAAGCTTTCAATAGACTCATTTCATTTATGAAAACAATGGACTCTAGGTTGACTCTCCGTATGGATTTGTTCAAGGCGCAGAATCGTGAGATGTTGCAGCGCCCAAACTACTTGGAGGACCAATTTCGCTCTCAATTTCCACCACCATCATGAGTTTTCACTGCATACATCTGCTCTATTAAGTTTTTAGACTGTTCGATTCAATGGCTACCTGTGCATCAAATTCTGCATCATGCCATCTTGTATGTTGTAAGTTTATTGTAGACATGTAAATTTGGATGTCTGATCATTTTTGCTTTGTGGATATTTTATTATCCGTTTCGATCGTAAATTGAGAATTTTTTTTCTTGTTGGATTTCCTAGATCTCTTTAATGTTTATCTCGAGCATCTGCTACATATATTTCCTACGTTACTATTTTACTTAATGGTTATGTACGTGGGGTATGTTGAATTCTTCAACACCATAGATATATGTTACATTGGGTTACCCATGGATTTTGAATAATTTGTAAAGAACTCATTTATTTAAACTAACTTTTTTTATTATTGCCAATAGCTTTAAAATATTGGCGATAATAAACAAAGTTACTCTAAACAAATTGTTCTACTCTAGCTATCTAAACAATGCTATTATTATTATAAGAATTTTTTCCTATAAGCAAAAATATGAAGCAGGAGGCCAAAATCAATCAAGAAAATATTATTATTAAATATTGTCTACTTTAATTTATGAGTTTATAAAGACAAAAAACTTATGAAAGAGTACAACGCATTAGATGAAACCGAAATATCATCTTAAGATATCTTATTCCTGGCTGTTGTTAGAAGAGAGAGTATCATCTCCAAACTCTATCAAACTCAAGTTCAAATGGTATTATTCGATGCAAATGTCAATGGCCAAATCCAAACAATCCCTAACAACTGACATCTGAAAGGCCACTATCTTTAGGTACAACACCTATAACGTTTTCAGAGTTTGTGGTTTGCATTGGACAGTGGTTTCATGTGTGCTCGGGTTGTCTACAAATTGAACATGCCTTAGGTCGTCGTCGTCATTGAGCCGTCGACTGAGTAGATGATGTTTCCCCATTTGTCGATAGAGTTGGAAACAACATGAGGCAATTTTGTCTATTATGACCATAACTCTTGCATTGTGAATATCTATGTCGTCGACTGCTTTCCCCAGCTGATGGAATCCTTTTCCTCCTAGGTTTTCCCTCTTGATCTCCCCAGGTTGGTGGCAAAACAACCATTTGTTTAACATCATAGGGGATGTCCCACTCACTAGGATGCCCAATCGAGTGAATGGGAACCGCATATCCGTCCACCCAAGACCGAGTAAAGTAATAGTCCGAGCAAAATTCAATGGCTGCACATTTGTACTTACTGCCAAGGCAATGAAATCACAATAGGCTAACAATGTCAAAATTCAATTCATCATGCAGAAAATAAGGAAACAAGATTATTCATACCTTATTGCCGCCATGGCATGTGTGTAGGGGAGTAGATCAGTCTGGAACTCACCACATGAACACGTCTTCGTGCACAGGTTAACGACTGCGTCCTTCGTCCCGCCTATAACTTGAAACTCCATTCGATCTATTGGTTGTATGGAAAAGTGACATGCTTCATTAAACTGTTTGTTCAAGAGATCAATAACCCAAGGGCTGAGGGGCATGGTCAAATTCAATGCTTCATTGTGCCGGTCAAGGAACCAATGTTGGAACATGGCTTTGATGCACTCGATTCGGACGGTTATTGGCATTTTCCGTACATGCTTGAGGCAGGAGTTAATACACTCCGCAATGTTGGATGTCATTAGCCTGTATCGCCTTATTGGTGACCGTACACGTGCCCATCTCTTAGAGCCTAATCTCATAAGGCGGTCATAAGCAGGTTTGTAAAGTTGTTTTAGCTTATTCATATGTCTATTAAAATCGGTGAGCCTATAGCAGTTGGCAGCCAAGGTGTATATCGTGCCAACATCTTCGAGCTTGAACATGTTTTTAATATTTTTCCCTAAATGGTAATTACATAGATCGTGATGCGCGTCCTTGTACACTTTCTCAATTGCATTCTTAATGCCAAGATGCTGGTCAGAAATGAATATTGCATTTTCAGGACAACCAATCGCACGACCCAATTGATTAAGAAACCATGACCAAGACTTTTTGTTTTCCACGTTGCCAATGCCAAATGAAACTGGATATATCTGCTCATCCTCATCTTTGCATACTGCAACAAACAGAATACCCTTGAATCTACTTTTCAGATGTGTGGCATCGATGGCAACTATAGGCCGTATTACAGCACTGAACCTCAGGATACATGAGCCGAACGCCCAGAAACAATATTTGAAT